ATAATTATAAAAAGTTGAAAAAGCATATTAGGCCTCAAAAATAAACTTGACAGTTATCAATATCGCCAAGTCAAAGATGAAGTGAGTAAAGGTCAAAATAATCATACAACTAATTCAAAGAGGTAAACCTGGTATCTATTTCACTCAAGACTACAGTCTATATTCCTTGGAAAAGCTGTAAGTTTCAACATAATAAAGCGTAATTCGATGACTGATTTATAATTTTCCTATCTGTAAGATAAACTATATCCTGATTACTCATAATTTTTTTCCTAAAGTATTTCCTTCCTCTCAGGTTATGAAATTACCAGCAAGTTTTAAAAAACTGCCAGGCACAGTGGCTCACACCTGTAATCCTATCACTCTGGAAGGGTGGGGCAGACAGATTGCTTCAGTCCAGGAGTTTGAGATCAGTCTGAGCAACCTGGTGAAACCCCATCTCTACAATAAATACAAAAATTAGCTGGGTATAGTGGTGCACTCCCATAGTCCCAGCTACTTGAGAGGCTAAGGTGAGAGAATTGCTCGAGTCTAGGAGGTCAAGACTACAGCTTTCCAGCCTGCAAGACAGCCTAGCTGTCCCAAAAAACACAAAAAGAAAAACAAAACCCTTTAGATTGTTCCATCACAACTTGGTGAAGAAAATAAAATTTAAATTCTTACCACTGAAAAAGCAAATATTAATATTTGATTCTGCCATTATGCATTAAGAGCTATTCAAGTGCTAATCAACACCACTGCATTCAAAATGGCTCTCTTTGTGACAGGACATTTTAGTAAACTAATCTATGATTTTATAACTCAGGTAATTATACTCATGGTATCATTAAAACAAACTGTTAAAGATATCATTTACCTGGGAACTGCCACTGAAACCTGGAGGTTGGCTGTATTCTGTGGAATCGATAATACTACTGCAAAATGAAGAGAGAAAAATGTGATTTCAGTATTTACATTATTTTAACAACAGAAAAAGTAAATCTAAAGTATATCATATATAAGCCCAGTACTTCTAATTGCTAGGCAAAGAAAACATTTATTGCCAATCATTTAATTAAGCATCAAATACACAATCCATAAAGTATCAGTAATTATTTAAGCAATTTACCACTTCAACCCACCACCTCAAAGATATAAACCAAAAAATAATGTCAATAGGGGATAACCACAAGGCATGTGTCTACATAGATTTACTTGTTTATATTTCATTTTCAGATAGGTTAATACAGTTTGGGAAACTTTAAGGAAAAGAAAATTTACACTATTGGGAAAACAGCACAAGCATGCAATCAAAAGCTATGGTTAACAGACCCTGCTATGCCACTAAAAAGTTATATGTTCTTGAACAATTACCTTATAATCAATCACTCAAGTTTCCTCATCTGTAAAAATGAGGTAATGAAGGCTAGCTATTTCTGAACTATCAAAAGAATAAAAATAAATGGTAAAATAACAATAATCTTGTTTTTGTAACCCAAAACCAATATACTAGTTTCCTCTGCTCTGGTCAAACAGAATCTGCTTTTTCCACAGGTTCTTTTTATTTGGTTATAATCTCTGTATATTCTCCTGTCTAACCCTAAAAAACCCTCTAGAAGTCTAGACTATCTTCTAGTTCCTCTATCTTAGCATTTTTATCTTGCCATTTCATCTTTCCCAGCTCCCTCCCATCTTTAAATAAGCCTTATATAAAAGACTATCAACAACTGAAAATCACTTGACATATATACCAACCATATAAACTATTATTTACTTTTTGTAAATTCTTCTTCTCTATTTCTACTATAAACGTGTTTAGGCTGGGCACAGTGGCTCATACCTGTAATCCCAGCACTTGGGAGCCCCAGACAGGCAGATCACCTGAGGTCAGGTGTTCAAGTCTGACCAACACCGTGAAACCAGGTCTCTACTAAAAATAAAAAACTTAGCTGGGCGTGGTGGCATGCTCCTGTAATCCCAGCTACTCAGAAGGCTGAGGCAGGAGAATTGCTTGAACCTGGGAGACAAAGTTTGCAGTGAGCCGAGAGGGCACCACTGCACTCCATCCTGGGCGACAGAGAGGGACTGGGTCTCAAAAAACAAGCAAGCAAGCAAACAAAAATGTTTGTATTCTTTCTATCCTATAAAATTTAAGCAATCAAGATTACTAATTAGAATGGTTCTATATGCAAATACACAAAATGATTAATTACTTAGTACTGAAAGAACCTCAAAGGTTATAGCATGACAGGTACTCTTAGAAGTACACAGTTTGAATTTTACCCATAGAAGTGAATAACCTGACTCTGGGAAAGTGATTAACCTTATTTGAGCTCTAGCTTCTCCATCTATTAAATGATGAAGACACATCAGACAGGTTTGAAATTTAAATAAGATAATGCATATAAAGTATGATGCCAAAACACTAAACATTCAGCAAATTTCTTTCTTTTAAAAACAAAATTAGCAATGTAAAACTTCACATTTTCAAAAATCATACGAATCTGTCTACACAGTAGTCTTTTTTTTTAAAGGCATAATTAATGGGAACAAACATACACTCAGATGAAAAAAATAAGTTCTAATGTTTAACAGGAGACTAAGGTGACTAAATATTCCAGGTATTTCAAAACAGCTGGAGAAGGCCAGGCACAGTGGCTCACGCCTAAAATCCTTGCACTTTGGGAGACTAAGGTGGATCACTTGAGCCCAGGAGTTCAAGACCACCCTGGACAACTTAGTGAGACCCAGTTTTCTATATATAATTAGTTGGGTATGGTGGTACACGCCTGTGGTTCCAGCTAATGAGGAGGGTGAGGCATAAAGATCACTTAACCTCAAATGGTTAAGGATGCTATGAGCTGTGATCACATAACTGCACTCTATCTAGCCTGGGGAAAAGAGTGAAACCCAGGCTAGACAGAAAGAAAAGAAAGAAAAGAAAAAAAGAAAAAAGAAAGAAAGAAAAAAAAAAACCAAAATAGCCAGAAGAAATCATAAATGCTAGCTGGGTGTGGTGGCTCACGCCTATAATCCCAGCACTTTGGTAGGCTGAGGTGGGCAGATCACTTGAGATCAGGAGTTCAAGGCCAGCCTGGCCAACATTGTGAAACCGTATCTCTACTAAAAATACAAAAATATTAGCTGGGCATTGAGGTGTGTGCCTGTCTGTAATCCCAGCTACTCAGGAGGCTAAGGCAAGAGGATCGTTTGAACCCAGGTGGCAGAGGCTGCAGTGAGCCGAGACCATGCCACTGCACTCCAGCCTGGGCAACAGAGCAAGACTACATGCCAAAAAAAAAAAAAAAAAGAGAGAGAAAGATGATAAACCCTCAAGGTGACAGGTGATGGGATACACCCCCAAATACTCTGACTTGATAATTACACATTCTATGCAAGTTAAAAAAAAAAAAAATCACAAGTACCCTCATAAACATGTATGAACTATTAGGCATCAACGAAAAAATAAAGAAATAAAGTTAAATGGCTGCCAAAAAATGCAGCACATACAAAAAAATCTTAATCGTGTTCTCAACAATTCCTACAGCACAACTCAATTATAAAAGAGCCTTTAAAGAACTGAACCATATAAAGAACTCAAATGCTCTTGCCATGAGTTTATTTTAATAAAATATAAGCATTGCTCATCTTCCCTCTAGAGTCACACACTGGTATAGCAAGATCACATGCTATTTTCAGTTTACTCCATCCAGAGACTAATAGGGCTAAAAGCGAGGTGATGCAATGCAATAAAAATCTCTCTGTTCTTTCTACTGATGAAACTCAATCCCCTGGCATTTTATAACATTAATAAAATTGTGTAGTTCTATATTTAGAGGCCCATAGAACAGAACATTTCCAGCTATACATTTTCATGGATTTATGATTCAGAATTCTGTGACTGTAAGCCTGAAAAATGAATGATCCTGATGTATCAGCGTACATATTGATAAAATTCTACATTTTAAATATCTTAAAAAATACTCATCAGTTTTTTCAAGATAAAACTAAGAATTAAAAATACTATCTTATTAATAATGATTACAGAATATGAAATTTATTATCTACCAGGTCTTAATTTTATTCACTAAGAAAAAGGTATAATGCAGACTGCAACAGAAAAATTTGAATAAAACCTGTTAATTCTGCTTAATGTATGTATCATTCAAACACACACATGCACGCACGCACACACAGAGAGAGAGAGAGAGAGAGAGAGAAGAGGATGTTAGAAATCACTGTCAGGGCTGGGTCCCTCTTGATTCTGGTGCTATACTACTAAACTTTCGATTCATCCACAGTTACCAGATGGCAATAACAATATCAGTAGGCCATTTACTGAGGGTTTACTATCCACTAACCTAAATAATTGAAACTTCAGAGCTCTAACATAGATAATACTATTAACATTCTCATTTCTCAAGTGAGAAAACTCAGGCACTGGGAGATTATGAGATTATATATTTGGTCCAAGATAACAACACTGGGAAATAGCAGAGTTATTACTCAAACCCAAGCAGTCAAGTTCCAGAGTCCACAAGAACCACCATGCTATATAAACTACCTAGGCACTTTATATTCTCTAACTGAAGAACAGGAAAATCCCAGAGTAGTCCCCACTTTGTAGACATATTTTAAAGAGAAAAATGAAAAACAGTAACCTATAAGACATAATAATTACTTTTTCAAATAAATGTCAATAAAGTTATAAAAGTAGTACTAACCGAGGCAGGAGATCATCTGAGGTCAGGAGTTCAAGACCAGCCTGGCCAACATGGTGAAATTCCAACTCTACAAAAATACAAAAATAAGCCAGACAAGATGGCAGATGCCTGTAATCCCAGCTACTTGGGAGGCTGAGGAGGGAGAATCACTTGAACCCAGGGGGCAGAGGTGGTAGTGAGCCGAGATCACACCATCGCACTCCAGCCTGGGTGACAGAGCAAGCCTCCATCACAACAACAACAACAAAAATGCTTAATAAAGACATCAAAAGCTGTCAAGGGGAAAAATTTTCATGGTGGTAACTGAAACTGATTTAGAAGTAATACAGTTTCATGAAAAGATAAAAACAGTTTCTAATGTTCTTGCTGGTAACAATGAGAAACTTTGCTAAAATAAATAAAAACAATGCCACTGTTAATTTGAGGTATAAAAGAAATTCATAGTTATGCGAGTAGATGTCATACAACTACTCTGACCTAAGTTATTTTCTTTCAAAAGCAAAGCCATATTTCCTAACTAGAAGGAAGATTAAGTCAATTTCACATGAGGTATACTATCATGAAGAGGTAGCCAAGAGAAAACAATGGTTCACTCTTATAAAAATAAATAGGCATACAGATTTTAGACTAGCCTTTTATACTGAAAAAGGATGGTTTAAATTTAAATTATTAGTAGATACATTAGCTAATTATAGAGTTTTAAAATAAATGAGCAAAAATAAAGCACACTGAGATCATTTTAGGCTAAACATAGACAATAAATATGGAATTATGAATAAAGGTATCAAAATCCAAAATGCCATGTCCGTACATAAAATTAGACTATCATCACTGATTTTTGTTTTGCTATAAACCACGAGAGAGAAAAATAAACTTCTACATTTAATACATAAACCAAATGGAGCTACAGATACTTCTTCTTTTCCAGTATTTTACATATAGTTACCGAACCAGTTTCTCCAAAAGAAAACACATTAATTAAGAAGTAACCTGAAAATGCCAAATTTTTAACAATTTAATATTTTAATTGAATTTTAAATTAATAGTAAATCCCATTTATTGAGCAACCGAAATTGCTATGGCCCCAATTTTGCAGAGACCTCTACAGATATTAGAAATCAATCTTCATCTTTTTTCTTGTTTTCTTCCATATACCCTTTAACATCTCTCACAATTAATCAAATATGTCACCCAAAATCAACTAATCTGTC